TCGCAAAGATTTCTAAATTGGTTGCAATTATTTTTGAAACAATCCATTTCGGCGGTGGCCCTTATATATATTGAGCTACATAAATATAATGTAAAAAAAATAAAAAATAATGCATTGGTGGATGGAATTTTAATCAAATACAAATAAGGACATTTCAATGTGTGTGTACATGGTTATACTAATTCAGAAACAAACTTATATGTATATATTATCTGAATTAGTATAACCATTTTATTTCGTTTTGTGTCAGGGGCCCTAAATTTCTTTTTTTTATTATAATATGAGCTATAAAAATATATTTTTAAACAGAGCTAATGCGTGAATGGATGGATACTTAAACAAATTAAGAACAGCGATATTTCCGTTTGCGTGTGAGATAAATTTGCAGGTTTCTAAATTTGATACAAACATTTTGCAATAGCCAGTTTTGGACCATGGGGCCCTAAATTAGTTTTTATTTTGACATGAGCTATTTAAATTTAATTTCTGCATGGGTTACAATGGCATTTATCTGATTGCTATAAACCTTTAGTGAATTGTTGTGTTCACGCCCGCAAAAGGGTTTTGGAATAAATACAACCATTTTACAATATTCCTTTTGGGGCCGGTGGCCCTAAATTTGTTTTTTTCTTATATGAGCTATGTAAATATAATTTGAAACAGAGCTATCGCATGGGTGGATGGAATTGAATCAGATACACACTACAACATTTCAGTTCTGTATGTGACATAATAAGTAAGTTTCTAAATGAGTGCATCCATTTTACAATATTCCCTTTTGGACCGGGCCCCTAAAGTTGTTCATATATACTAAATGAGTTATATAAATATAACTCTGAACATAGCCATTGCATGGGTGGATCAATCGCTACAAGTGTGTGGACGAAATTTTGAGAATCAATGCTTCTCACATGGTCAGCTGTGTGTGGCCTGCTCACGTGGTCAGCTGTGTATGGCCTGCTCACGTGGTCAGCTGTGTGTGGCCTGCTCACGTGGTCAGCTGTGTGTGGGCTGCTCACATGGTCAGCTGTGTGTGGCTTGCTCATGCTTCGAAAATTCTCCTAATTTATTCGAGTACGCAACCACGCTGTTAAAAAAAATTTAAAAAAAAAATGTTTTTATAAAAAATTACTTCATAAAACATACTTAAAACACAAACACTTTATTTCTGTGAGTTGTGTTGCAAAGCATGCCGGGTACTCGCTAGTTTAAAGTAAAAGCTCTTTTGGATGTTAACCTTAATGAAACCCAGCGGTACTTCATAGTCAAATGGACACTGGCACGGGCGAGGATTTTCATGTTTATAGTAACTTTTAATTTTATATATACTGAAAGAAAAATGTTTAGGTCTCTCTATATATAAATAAATGAAAAGTTCGGGCGGGTGAGGAGGGGTGCTTAAAATTAAGAAGATTATAATGTTGGGCGTGGCCCCAAAGAGTTGCGCAACATGGCCTTAAAAGCTGGCATACAGCCATTAGCCCAGCAATTATATGACGGCAGTATTCTTTTTTCCTTTGTTGTTACTTTGTAGCGTTTAAACAAATTGGTAAAATCTTGGACATTGAAATAGACAATGCCACAGCGGAAAAAGACACGAGTTGGATTGTTCGACTGGCTTGAAAGAACACGTCCATTTGTTGTACTCTCTCCCATTTCTATTCTCCTCTTTATCTGCGTTCGTGTTCCTGGCAGTGTTACAATAAAATATGTGAACATGCAAAAATGAGCACTGAAATAAGACGATGGAAACAAGGTGGATGGACATAATACTTGTCTGGGAATCTTCAAGCTTCACAACGCGATGTTGAAAGTTTTGTGTGGAGGACAATATAGAATAACCAGCAACGGCCATGAATTGGAACATTTCAAAGGAAGAGTTTGGAATTCAAAAGAAATGAAACTAAATTCTTTGGTTGAGAACGGTCCTTAAATCCCCCCCCCCCCCAAAAAAAAAAAAAAAAAAAAAAAAAAAAAAACACAAAAAAAAATAAAAAAATAAAGGAAGAGTTTGGAATTCAAAAAAAAACAAACCAAATTCTTTGGTTGAAAACGGGCCTTAAAACCCCCCCCCCCCCAAAAAAAAAAAAGAAAATATGCAAAGTAACACACGTAAAAAAATTGTAAAATGTGAATTTATATCGAACTCTTCATCAGTTCAGTCACATATATAAATGTGTTCATGTAACGTTAAGTTAACATTTATAAAGTGTTCATTTAATGTTAAGTTGAAATTTATTAAGTGTTCATGTAATGTTAAGTTGACATGTATAAAGTGTTCATGTAAATCTTAAGTTCACATGTATAAAGTGTTCATGCAAATGTTAAGTTCACATTTATAAAGTGTTCATGTAAATGTTAAGTTCACATTTATAAAGTGTTCATGCAATGTTAATTTCACATTTATAAAGTGTTCATTTAATGTAAAGTTAGCATTTATTGAGTGTTCATGTAATGTTAAGTTAACAGTTATACAGAAGTTAAATGTTTGATTTCCATTTTAAAAAAGTAAACAACTTATAATGATATAAAAAAAAGTTCATTAGGGAAGCAATTTCTTTCCAGGTTTTTCTACATACTTGTATAATTTGTTTAAGGTCAAAGACGAACAGCACGTCAAATTTCACTAAAAAGACAATAATAAAACTAATAAAATAAACAAAGACATTTATCCGATTAAAACACCATGCTTGCTGTGTTGGTGCTGCTGATGGCGTCATCGTTTACACACACAGAGGAGCAGATAACGGAGACCAGAGAACTCTTGACCAAACACACCCATGTTAGTGTGTCAGATTCAGAGAATGGAAAGCCTGTTCTGAAATTCCATGGCTCTCACGAAGGTAATTACGTTTAAGAATACATTTATTGTAGGAAAACAATGAATTTACAAACAAAGAACCCCCCCCCCCACTAAAACACAAAAATTCTACATTTATAATAATCTAAAATTTATTGAATGCTTCATAACCATGTTTCCCAACGTGGGGCCAAAGCCCCACAGGGGAGGGGGCAAATTGATTATTTAGTTGGGGGGGGGGGGTATTCGAAAAAATGAATTGTCTAGAATATGAAAAAAACAACCATCTACATATGATTTAGCTTGTACTTTAAAAGGAGAATCGTTAAAGTCTCAATTTAAAACAAGAGCTCATTAAGCGTGTTGTCAGAATCATTTAAGTTTCTTCCGTGAACAACCCTATTTTTGGAAAATTAAAAATTATGTATACGAGACACGGGAGGCACAAGAGTTTTGTCAAGGCTTTGGTGGGGAATGGCACAGAAAAGGTAGGGAAACACTGCTTCATAATAAAATAATTGCACCCTGAGGTTAATATTATAACGAACAACTGTTTTATCTTTTAGCATGAAGACAAAATATATTAATGTATGTAATGTTGCGCGATTGTTTTTCCTCTTTAAAACGCCACAATGGCAATGTCTTCAAATCATAAAGAGATATTAGACATTCTCTCTCTTCAAAACGTTCATTTATAACTACGAGAATATCTCATTAAAGTTAGTGAAAAGGGGACATGCTTACACAAAGGCTCACATTTCCCTACAGGTCCATTGCAAGCCAGTAAGCCTGAAAATTTGAGACGTTGGAGGCTCAAATGTGGCTGGCTTAAAAAAAAGGCTGGATGTTTGAGCTTTTGAGTAGATTCGACCGGTGACAATAGTTGCAGAAGGTTGTCAGATGCGGATCAATAGGAAGACTGTTTTTACCAAGGGACACGTTTTCTTATTATATAAAAAAAAAACAGACTGAAACATCAGACTGAAGAATGTATGTCTGTCTAGAGTTTAATTATTAATATTTTATTACCGAGCTTTAGTTGATTTAACAAAAAAATACTAAGGACGGTCTTGTGTAAATTTGACCAACATGGCTGGTAGATTCGACAGGGTGCACACAACTAATGAAAAAACACAAGTAACAACAAATTGAAAAGATTATTCCATGTATCGCTTAAATTTAATCGCTTGATTTAACGTTGTTTGCTGTATTCGGGCTTTGAACTATTTTGAATTTTTAATGACATCATAACTGTCTTTTCACACACCACCCGCCCCACAAAGGTATGATCAGTTTTAAAAAAAAATATTTCGCAAGCTGATAAGTTTTGTCCTTCATTGGCTGAAATCTGTTGTTAGGAAATGCAAGCATACAGTCTGGCTAAACTCTTTAAGATATTCATAAAACGTCCTTGTATTCCCTTTGGCCTATCTCTTAACACCCCTTCGCATTCTGAGCCAGCGTAGTGGGTCGTGACCTCCATCCTCACTTGAAAAACAGGCAAAACTGACTTGCGGTGGTTGGAGCTGGAAATTTGATGGAATGTGTTGTCAACGTCAACGCGTCTTTGTGCCGAACTTCAGCAGTAATTGGGGATTCTTATCAAGTGCGTTACTTGTATGCATGTTTTGTCCAATTTTTTTTTAGCCCAACCACCATTGATGGATGTTACATTTTATCAATGATTTATACGAAAGTCTTTGTTTTTTTATAGGTTGTATAACTTGCAACTAAGCCTTCGTTGGAAATAAAATCTATGCGTATCGGTTTGAAACACATCCAGCTGTTATCTTTGGCAATAAGAACGTATGTAGTTTAAGAGAATAATTGTATACCTTCTCCATATTTCACTAACAGCTAAAAGAGAACTTGTTCGATTTTATCCTTCAAACTTAACAATATCTTGCCAAGATGGGTTATAGAAAACAAACTGATACATGTCTATATGTACACATACAATGTTGCCCTCTCGGATACTTCGTCTCAGCTAAGAGCTATTTATTTTAATTAAATGATCAACTGAATCATGTTAATGATTTCTTTCCTGCTTTCATTTCCTCTAGCTTTTAACTTCAAACAGCCCAACATAACGAATTCTCTACTCCCACGAACAAGGAGAGACACTTTCACCAAGCGCTTCAGGCGCAGTTATGACGAGCACATGCGATACGTCTCGCATGCCTTCTCAATCAGTTGTGATGTTTTTGTGTATCCCGTTTTAGGCTTTCTGGGCATAGCAGGAAATGTCGTCACCGGGATAATCCTAAGACGCAGCGGACTGGAGAAGCCCACGAACGTTCTGCTGCTCGCACTGGCCATTTCCAGCATCAGCTGCTTACTGCCCACCGTCAACATCTTCTCTTTGCTGCGGCAGTTCAACAAGATGATACCGCCAAGGTATTACATCGCGTGGGAATACGAACCGGGGAAATCTCGGTTCGCGTATTTCTGCTTCCACGCGACGACTTTCATTTTCTTTCAAAGCAGGTACGGAAATCAAGTCACGTCGTCAATCTGCGTGCTAATTACCCTGGAGAGACTTGTTGTCATATTTTTTCCAATGAGAATTAAAAGCATCATCACGCTGAAGAGGACTGTAGCCGTGGTGATATTCGTGCACCTGCTCTGGCTGCCACTTCTCGTATTGAACATAAGAGCTTGCAAAGCTCGAGTAATCTATTTCGACGACGTTGAGACATATGGACTGCTGCTGTCCTTTGAAGAAAACGATCTTTTGACTAACATTGGACAGGTCGCCGATTGGCTGAGCGGAATCATTCCCGTCACTGTTATCTTCCTCGGCACGGTCACGATGAGCGTGAAGCTGAGGTTCATCCTCAAGAACAGGAGACGTCTGACTTCGTCTCTGAGGGGGACCCACTCCCTGCGGCTCTCCAAAACGTTGATTGTCGTGTGTGTTCTGTTCTGCCTCTGTCACATGAACGCGTTCATTTTCCTGTTTAAAACGTTCTACAACAACGAAAACCGCCTCATGGGGAAGATAATAATCATGTTTTCTTACGTGGAGAGCGCTAGTCACTTTCTCGTGTACATCTTCTTAAATAAAAACTTCAGGTCAGTTATTGTTAAACTCATAAAGTTCCATAGACAAAATAGAAGGTAATCCGCTTGATCAGGGTTGCTTACTTTAAAAGAAAAGGGGAAACAAATAATTATTAATGGAATATATTTGAAATCTAAAAAAAAATTTAAATGAGAAATTAAATTTGATACGGATGAAATAAATATTACGAGCAAACATTTGAAATCTATAGATTTTTTTTCTTTATAGAAAAATAACTTTTATTTCCGGACACAGTCTCAAAATAAAATAATGCAGTTGAAATCAATTTCAAATATCCTCACGAATGTGTTATGGCAGTGTGTTGTGACATTGTGTTATTACTGTGTGTTATGGCAGTGTGTTTTGGCAGTGTGTTATGGCAGTGTGTTTTGGCAGAATGTGTATTTTCACCACGCGGATTGACCCCATTTTATAAAATTTTACAAATGTATTGAAGAGCATTCTCACTTGAATTAAATATATCCAGATTATTTTCCTAAAATTTCAAGAAATCAATAAGCTTTTTTGACCTCGCAATACGCAACGGGTTACTTGACCGATGTGGACCAAAAGAAATGGACAAGCTTGGTGTGTGTCTTTTAAAAATTAAAAATGAATTTAAAAAAAATAATTTCTTATAGGCTTGTTTAATTGTTCATGTTTTTTTTAAAGATTGTATTCTGGTTCTTTCCCTAATAAATTGAACTCTTTAATTTCCTCTAACCAATTTTGTCTCATTTCTTCTTTTATTTTAATTCTCTGGCGATCTAAATGGACTTAATTGAAAATTCCTCTAGAGTTTTGATTGTATTAATTAAGATAGACGTCAGAATTTAATTTTTTTAAAAATATATGTAAATAATATTTTCGGTGGAAAAAAAAATCGAATTTGTATGTTGGGATTAGTCACCCAGGCTGAACTGGTATGTAAACACTGACTGGGATGAAAGGAAGAGTCATTCAGAATGTATGTGACCAAAGTCTAACTAAAATAAATAGTTTGAGTGTTTGCTGTAATTAGCCCTACTTAACTAGTACAAGGTTTAGCTGTGTCCAGTTGTTTTAACTGGGTTTTATCAGTGTGAGCTGTAATTAGCCCTACTTAATCCAGTACAAGGTTTAGCTGTGTCCAGTTGTTTTAACTGGGTTTTATCTCGGCCGTCACCAATGACTACCTAGTGATAGTTTTACTTTTTAGTTTTACACAACATTAAAGTGAAGTGGAACAAAAAAATAAATTAGACATTCAGTTTGATAAAGTTCATTGGTAGTCAAGCGACACTCTACAACAGCAATTCTAATTTTAATATAGATTTGTATTTTTAAACAAAAAAAATAAAAAATTGTAAAAAATTAAATATTCGCATTTTTAAAAATTAATTCAAAACGACTAATATTAGCCTAAAAATAAGAGTAATTACAGTAGCCATTTGGCTTGTCTGTCGAGAGTAGAAGCCATAACTACTACTTTCTGTAATTTTTTATTTTTTTTATTTTTAGTGTAAGTGTGCGCAACGACGAGAACCCAAAGGTTATGACTTTATTAACCAGTAGAGATGTACTCGGTCCCTCAAACACTGAAGCCGAGAACCTGCTTAAATTATGGGAGAGGTTACTCCTCATGGTAATTCATGGCCCAGTGTTTGACAATGATGGAAGGATAAACCGTAAAAACCGATAGATATATCAATTGTTTGAAGACCAATCCATAGTCAGATCTATGAATTGTTTGAAGACCTACCCATAGTCACATATATCAATTGCTTGGAGACCTATCCACTGTAAGTAATATCAGTTTTTCGAAGACCGATCCAAAGTCAGAAACAAATATTTTGAAGACCAATCCGTTGCCGTAACAGTTTCCCTTTATTTTCCTGTTCCGCCACAACAATGTTTTCTTATCTTCCGAGCTTAACGTATCATCTTTTCAATGTCAGTCTCCTTGGCGAATGGCTGCCTCCACACACACACACACACAAATACTTTACTCACACTTTGACACAACCTTCTATAATGCACTCTGATCATTTTTGTTGTTATTTTTCTTCAGTTTTTATTTTTTTTGGTGTGGGGGAGGGGGGCTGGGAAAGCTACATATCTTACATGACATAAAATTCTAATCGAATTTTGAGACAATGCCTTTTAATGAACATGCATTTTGTTGGGGAGTGTGGGGGGACAAAACTAAAAAAGGAAATTCAGTCAACTTGTGCAACAGTGAAATGAACAAAACTACAAGCTCATAAAAATATAACATGGGCTGCAATGCAACATCCAGTGGCACGGATCTTAATGAAATCGAATAAATTGTATGTCTAAAAAATTTATTTTTTTAGGGGGGGGGGGTAATATCTGTCATTTTATCAAATTTCATCAAATCAATGATTTCACCTGTTGTTATTTTTTCTGATCAAATGTTCAATGACACCTGTTGTTTTTTTTCTGATCAAATGTCCCAAGACACTTGTTGTTTTTTCTGATCAGATGTCCAAAGACACATGTTGTTTTTGTGTCTATAAGTGTTAACTAGGTGCTTGCTTAAACAGGTGGTAAATAAAATCAATAAAATCTTTTCATACGTCTTACGACTTTTCCCTAACACTGCTATGGCATCAAGGTATTCACGATACTGAACGGGTAGGTTGTAGAGAGTGCCCATTGGTTGTTTGTCTTGGGTTTCAGAAATTATCCTGTGATTATTCGCCTGATGTCAATGTGTATGTTTCTTAAGATTATTTTAAGCCTGTAAACAAAAAAATTCAATATAGTCTTGTTTTTTTCGGCAAAATAAAAAGAAATAAAGTGGTGATTTATTAAATTCTTTCATCACTTTTTACTGAGATGATTTTCATTTTAATCTAGTCAAAGTGAACGCATAAGAAACGCTAATAAATAAAGACACCATTGACCACTAAAATGTTGACATCTGAATTATTTTATGTTTATTGACATGCCCATTAAATGCATCAGTTAAGATTAAAACAAACAAAACAAATAAAAGTCAGTGTATGTGTAATTAAAACAAGAATCTAATTCTTTTACTTTTTTTTTTTTGATACGTTTATTTTCCTGAGAAGTCGTAAGAATTCGGATGTACCATTGGCTTTTTTTCAGAATTTGAAACCAGTATAAATACATACTTTTTTTGTGAACACATGAAATGTATTCAAGGTTACAATCAGATACGTTATTTTATTAATTTTAAGTTGACAATTGTGTTCAAGATCCATTAATTTACGAAAAAAGGCTTTATGTGTAATTTAATTGATATGTTGTAGCCTAGTAAGTATTTCGACCCACAGCCCCGATTAAAAAAATATTATTAATTTTCAACCCCGCCCATGAATAGTAAGTTTTGTCACAATACATCTTTCCTCGTTGGAGCCTAGACATGGGGCCTCAGCCACCCGTCAAAACATAGACCTAAACTGTCGCTCGGGGTTGACCAGTAAGATGGCCATTTCGCGCCCTTGACCTGGTGAAGCACATGGGATTTTATTGTTTAATTTACCATTTAGTTCCCACATAAAGACATACTTCGTGAACCCCATTACACGGCCCTGCTATACTCAAACCTCCATTTAAAAAAAAAAATAAAGCTTCCCCAGAAGTACTGCAGTACTTGGGTAGTCCCTCTTCAAAGTCAGCCCTTGCGGGTCTCTTGGTCTCTCACAAAATGTTTGTAATGGCTTTTACGTGTGTAAAATTAGATACATTCACTAGTAATTTTAATGAAGATTTGGTGTATTTTCAGCCTTCTGGGTGCGTCACTCATTAGTTGTTAACTTTAGTTTTTTTATAGTATTTGTGAGAGGAAAAAAACAACTTCCTCTTCTTATTGCCTCTACCCACAGCCATTGGGCATAATTTTACATGAAGGCAAATAATTTGGGAAGCTACTAGAGGCTTATTGCATAAATTAAAGGTTTTTAAATTCCGTTAAATGGCAAACAAATAAAAATGTTATAAACAAAGGGCTATACCTCTTTTTATATAAAGAGAAAAAAACAAAAAAACTTTAAATCTTTTTTAAATATAAAAATGTAATGTGGGAAACTGATTGCATTGTTTTTATATGTTATATTGTTTGTAAAATATATATTATACTACGAATAAATGGAATAGTACAAGAAATATTCCTAAAATAAAATTTTTATATTTTGTTACTATATTATGTAAAGTTATAAAAACTGGACATAAAAATGAAAAGAAATGTATTTCTACAAAAATTGAATTTCTTGTTCATGAAGACAAATGAGCGAAATAAATATATGTAATTTTTTTATGGTCTTTCTGACCACTAAAGACAAATAAAATAAATAGAATAGGTTTCGATCTTTATGAAATAACCTCTTTTATGTATTATATAAGAATGAGCTAGGCTGACCGTAATGCCAAAGAACCGCAAAGATTTAAATACGTTCGGATTCTTAAAAACAATTATGTTATTTTCTATTATTTTACGGAAATCGAGTAAATTTATACGAACAAAAGATATTAAATATACGCTTTTATTTCAGTAAAAGTTTTAGTATTATTATTATGAATTAAAAATACATTTAAAGTAACAACCAAGGAACTATTTTAAGTATTTCATCTGAGTTTGAAAGTTATAAAAAAAATATGATCAAAGAATTACATCCTAATCACATTTATGGGGTAAAGTCAAACATATGTTGTTTTTAGTGCGTTGCTAATATTGCGAAATAAAGTTAAATTAATTTGTACTCAGTAAACAAGCCAATGACGTTATTGCACGCATTGCCTATTTTAGCCAAAGCTCTGTATTTCTTTGATTTAATAACCGCACGTGACAAAGATGATAATGTATTTCCCCTTCTTAAAAGTAAAATTAATAAATATAATTGATAGCTTTTTAGATTGATAAAACTTGCTAAAGTTAAATACAACTTAAGCCATGTATTTTTAACATTTAATAAGTTTTTACTTTTTATTCATTCCTAAGGTATACTTTGATGAAATTATAGAGTAGTAAAACCGTAGCCTTAAAATATACTTTTAATTTTAAAAATGCCGTTTAATTCAATCAGTTCAGTGAACTACATAGCCAAATAGCATTCACTAATGCACTTATCAGTCATCCAATTAAGAAAAAAGTTTGTAAAATGCAAAAAAAAAATGTTTTTGCGTACATAGGGGCTCCAATCCCGTGGATGTTTTTATTTAATTTTTAAAAATTAAATTCTTTGGGGATTGGGGTCGAAAATTTCATTTTCCCCCAGTTCATAACACCACTGCTGAGTCGCCCTTGCACCAATGAAGTATCCTATTGAAACCCATGGACAGTAACATCGGAAACCCCTCTGAAACATAAGAGACAGAATGATCAATTCATTGATTCATTCGTGGGCCCTTAAAATAAAGAAGAAGAAGAAGAAGAAATGATTGTGATAAACAATTAA